GAAAGAAAGAAAGAAAGAAAGAAAGAAAGAAAGAAAGAAAGAAAGAAAGAAAGGAGGAAAGATTTAAAACAACTAATGTGGGATTCCCCTCTGTATGCTGTGATTACCACTGATTAATTTTAAAAAAAAAAAATGCTTTGTGCCTATAGCAGGGCAGAACAGAGCTATGTGGGGGAAACTAAACTAATTGCTGGGAGAAAGAAGATGGAGTCAGGAAACACCATGTAGCCCTGCCGAAGACAGACGCCAGACAGAATTGTCAGTAAGCCAGAGCCACGTGGCAATACACAGACTAATAGAAATGGGTTAAATTAAGATGTAATAGCTAACCAATAAGAAGCTGGAGCTAATAGGCCAAGCAGTGATTTAACTGATATAGTTTCTGAGTGATTATTTCTGGTCTGGGCAGCCAGGAAAAAGCAAGCAGCCTCCTACTACAAGCAACCACCTGAATGAAGAAAAGTAAGTAATCAATAACAGAAAAAGAACTTGACTTATTTATATTTTACTGTGTGAGTGTTCTGCATGTATACCTGCTTGCCAGAAGAGGGCATCAGATCCTATCATAGATGGATGTGAGCCACCCAGTGATAACCGAGGATTGACCTCTGGAAGAGCAGCCAGTGCTCTTAGCCGGCTCTCCAGCCCCCTCTGTGATTTCTAAATGACTGTTTCCTAGAAATGGTAGGGGAGAGATAAAGAACAAAAGAAAGAGAAAGAAAGGGACTCACTAAAGTAAAATTGAGAAGATGACAGCTTTAGAGACACAAAACAACACAACAAATCAAGACAGCTGCTCTGTGATCTCTGAGCTGTGGTCTTATCCTTCCTTTCAGAGAATTCAAGCAATCATTTTCCTATGTGTTCATTAACTCCAACAGAAGAAAAAGTTCCCATGTCATGACAAAAGGTGGCAGAATCCATCACCTGACAGTGCAGAGTCATGGTACAAAAAGTGTTAATAAACTATGGTCATTTAATTTGATTAAATCACCAAGGATCAGCTTCTCCTAGAAAGAAAATGACAGACTACCACAGCAGAGAAGAATGTGTCCAGCTAAGTCTATCTCCATTGTAGGTATCCTGGATTTCATTTAGTTATTTAATATTTATTATTTCTAAGTGCTGTTTAGAAGAGAAACAGCCAGAGGAAACTATGGGCTGCTGAATTCTGCATGAGTATGGAGTTATACTTGTCAACATTCTAGTTTCTATGCTAAATAATATAGTACAGAAATCAGAACCACTTCACCCAAGAACAACTGCCTGGATGTCCCCACAGAGATTGCCAGTGAAGTGTAGACAAGAGTCTGTGCCTCTCTATTCATGACCCAGTGAGGACAGGCCAGATTCAAAGAATAATCTCCATTGGCAGAAGGTAGACAAACACAGTAGTTTTCTTGAAATATTTCTTGACATTGATTTGAATGGAATAAAAAGTAAAAAAATATTTTTTAGATTCCATCCACTAAAGTGTAATTCCCTTAAAAAACAAGTGAGAAGATAAAATAGCCTTCATTTAGTTCATTATCTACTTAAAGGTCAGTTGTTTACTTAAGATCCATTTATTCCTCAACTGACAATAAAATGGCAGAGAATAGTTTCAAAATAAAAAAGAAAATCTCATTTTCTCAAAGATAAAGAAATCTAGATATGGGGATGTTGTTCAATTGTTACATCGGTGCCTGGAATGCATCAATCCTGGGTCTGATCCTGAGCACAAAATAAAACCAGAAACAGTGGACCATGCCTATAATCCTAGCACTCAGGAAACAGAGGCAAGAGGAGGAGAAGTTCATGATTATCCTTAACTACAAAATGAGTTTGAAGCCACACTTAGATACATGAGAATCTGTTTCAACAAGTAAAAATAAAAGGCTTGTAAGATACCAGATGCAACCAAGGGTACAGATGCTTATTTTACAAACCTGACAACCTAGATTGCATCCCTCAGGGTAGGCAGAGAAGCCCTACTCCTGAGAGTTGTTTCCTGACCTCACATAAAAGCACACACACTTCCCCACCATAACAAAAAAAAAACACAAAATAATGAAAAATAATAAAAAACATAAATGAGAAATTGAAAGTGTGCTACTTAAGCTCAACAAAATCTTGAGACTGGGAGGTGAATTAAGAATGGGACTGAAAAGAAAGCAAGGGAACTGTAACCACATGCTTCAGGAAGCAACAGGACTTGTTTTGATCTCCATTGAAAGCTGCATGAAGAGATTCCTAACTCAGGACCCAGCTGGGCACACAAAGAAATAAGGCATATCTAGGTCTTCAGACTCATCCTCAATCTCTCCAAGTGGAAGTACTTACACGTAGGTGATGTGGGAGTGTCATATCAATCTGTTGATTTCATTGGCTGAGCAATAAAGAAACTGCTGGCCCTGATAGGTTAAAAGATAGGTGGGTGGAATAAACAGAATAAAATGCTGGGCAGAAAAGGAAGTGAGGTCAGACTCTGCTCTGCTTCCAGAGGGACCTGAGACGCCATGCTCTGCTCTCCCAGGCAGCTCCAATCCACGATGGACTTAGGCTACAATCTTCCAGGTAAGTGCACCTTGGGGTGCTTACACATTACTAGAAATGGGCTAGTCCAGGTGCTAGAATTAGCCTGTAAGGGCTAGAGTTCATGGGCCAAGCAGTTCTTAAATGAATACAGTTTGTGTGTTGTTATTTCGGGCATGAGCTAGCCAAGTGGCTGGGGTGTTGGGGATGCAGCCCCGCCGCTCCTATTTCAACAGATGGCGCCCAGACGTGTGGCTAACTGAATCCACAAAAAGCCTGAGAAAGCTTGGGAAAGAGTAAAGCATGTTTGTTTTCTTGGTAGCAACAATTTTCGGGTCTACTCCGCTTGCTAGAGGCAAGCAAGCACTCTCATCTAAGAGAGGCTTCCTGACTCAGCTTCAGCTGCAAAACCCTGCAGCTCATTAAGAGGTCCTGCCACAAAACACTTAAACGGTGTTGGTGAAAAGCTGAACGCATGCTTTTCGGTTTTCAGCCGTAGCAGGAAAAAGGCTGCGCTGTTCAAAAATGCCGGCTTTCTGGGCTGTCCTGCCAGGGCAAACTCTGACTCTTTTACGCAGGCGGTTCGTGTGTTGCAAGCACAGGCTGCTGAAGCTCGCTTGCTGGCAGGGACCTTGAAATGCTGTAGAGTTGTGGCAGTAAACGTGGCTACAGCCAATACCTCAGCCATGAGGCTGGAAAGCTAAGGAATGGACTGGATCTAGCTGGCAAAGCCACGACTTTAATCCTACTCATATTGCTCAGTAATTTAAAGGCTCGTGTGGTCAGAAAAAGAGAGATA